TAGCCTTGACATCTTTAGACTAGGACACGTCAAAGAATAAAAAGCTCTCCTTATAAATAGTGGTCCTTTGCGAATGAAGATTAATTGAGAAGAAAGCAATACTCTAGTTTGTTTTTCATATCATATTGATAATTACACTGTGGAAGGAAATACTTTATGAATTCAATAGCATACTCTTATTTCACAGAGTAATACACTATTACAACATAAAATGAAACACTGTCTAAACAGTGTTGAATTGTGCTGACGATTACTTAATCACCAACACCTCATGTAGTTGATAATGTCAAATCACTGAATACTATGCCATAGCCCTGTGTCAAGTCAGCACATTTATGAATGTTTATTTAGTGATGATTACCAGTGGAATGAAAATGTGGTCCACAGTAACAGTCCACTTATCCAGAGCTTATAATCTGTAGATTAGTGACTGGGATCCCATTGGGTCTCAGACTTTTATTCCATCTGCAATCATCACTACTGATACAAAGTGATCTCAGATGTCAGCTTGCGCCACAAAATGACTTCAGTTAGAGAGTTCCTGAAAACTAGGGAGTACTGAATAACTGTCATGTTCTAGTTTTTGACGCTTCAATAGTAAGTACCCTTGATTCCACCTAAGACCGGACCTCCGATACTGGGGTTATAAGGCCTACTTATTGATCATTCAGTCACTGGGGTGGAATCCCATGCATTTTAATCTCTCAGATAGTGTGACTATCAGTCTTTTTCATATTGATTCACAACTTATATGTCTGCAGAGGTACTTAGTAATTAGTTCTGTGGCCAAATAAAAAATCTTTCAAAAACCAAAATGAAAATCTAGTATACACTTGGTGTAAGTAGGCAGATTCATATCCGAAGGTGAATAAACTCAAAATGGCATAACTTCTCAGGTTAACTTTCTTGCAGAGGTATTCAATGTAAATGAATTCTGGTGTGTACCCCAAAGAATCTTTTTAACAATTTCCCCTTTTTAACACAACTTAATTTTGATGTGACTTCAATTGTCATAAATCTAACAATTAAAAAGAAGTGGGTTGAAAAGTAGAGATTTGAAAATTATCTTTGAGCTTTATTATACCTATCGTGACTCGGTGGGGGTAATAAGTAAAGCTTTTCATGTCTAAAACAGTGGATGCTGGATAGGAAGGCTATCAGTAACTGTGGATGCAGATATATTCGACCGATGAGGCGTCCACTTTAGATCCCATTTGAAGGTAATATCATTCAAATAATATCATGAATGTATCAGGCTTACTGGGTTTTTTTTAAAAAGCCGCTACTAATAATGTTATAATGATTTTCCATGTCATATAAAGGACTGAAAATATATCATCACTATACTTTACGAAGAACAATAAACATAATAATAGTTTCAGTAGGTACTAAGTTGACGTCAGTGCTTTCTTTTATTCCTCCGGAAGATTTCCAGCCATTCTATAGCTTTCGAAACAATTTTCATCACTGATTTGATTTCAAACTCTATCCACTTATCCATATGATGCAAGAACCCTTAGACAATGAAGGAAATCAATAAACTTCTGTGATACTCTATTAAACCTGTTGATATGGATGTAAAAGAGAACTTTATTTGCACTTATCACATTGTAGCTAAATAATAATATTAGAAATACGATACGTGAAGAGAAATTTTGGTGTATTTGACTCAGTTATCATATGACTTAACAAAACAGTTACTCAGTTCATGACACAACTATGATGTCATTTATACACTGGATTTTAACAGCTACCCAATTAAAAAAAGGGTACAACTTTGGGGCATTCGTGTTATAACCAGCTATTAATAAACGGATTGTAATACAATCGGAAGAATTTATGGTGAATGGATAGATCTCTGCGTGGTTTTAAACCAACCATATCAGTTCGTTGTGTCTGCTAACCAAATATGAGTTATCTGAACACTACACAAACCCCTTTTCCTAGTTTGGAACTGGGAATATTAGCTGTATACAGGGACTGACTCATCTCAGACAGCTGAACCAGTCCACATCACCTAAAATTCTGGTCAACTGGTAACACTTAAGTAGGAATTTGTTGCTTGCAGATTACGCGGTTTAAGATGAATCTGCACAATACTTTCCATTTTGGAAACCTAAAATATTCACATCACAATGTATGATACCTGTAGGAAACTAAAATTAGCATCAATAAAATATTAATTGGTTACAGGATTTCATCATGAGCTGACATTGGTTAGAAAACCATTGGCAAACCTTGGAGTACTGGGCGGCTGTTTCGTCCCAATTTGGGACTCTTCATCAGTACGCACCCACCGGGGTTCGAACTCCCAGGTTTTCCCACGGTTCTCTTACCCATGTCAGCTCATGATGAAATCCTGTAACCAATCAATTAAATTCCTATAAACCAACACTTAAAATGTTTATTTTTGGTTCTGTCTTCACATAAACCAACTGACAATTTAACTTACATAAACTCTTTATACGGAAAAGAATTTTAACTTACTCAAGTGGTGAAAAATTATTGAGAAAGTACAAAGGAAACATTGGGAAGTTGTTAACGACTTCCTAACTTGCTCTATATAGTTTGTAATCTCTGCTGTTTATGAATAAATATATCAAATAAATTTATGCATTATGAAATTAGAAGGAAATAAAGATAAATCAGACATAGACTGAAAAAATATTCAAGGAATATCATATTTCAAGCAGGCTGTCGATTGAAAGCTGAATATGAAGTGATGATTTGTCCATTGGTTGAAGTTTAACATGGATGAGATTGTGTAAAAGGGAAACGCAAACTTATAAGCGGTCGTGGAGTCAGTTGACGGTGATAACAAATAACCCAGTACCTTAACATGAGTGACTTCAAACTACTCAAATCAATCAGTCAGTAGTATATACCACTATTTTATTTCAGAAATAGCTTTATTCAACCAGAAAAATTACTGACTATTCTCTTAATGAATACAACTAGTCCGTAACTAACAGTAACTGTTAAAGTGAATTCCGTCCCAATGGGTGAATTGTCAATGAGCTCGCCTGGCAATCTGAAGGCCCCGTGTTATGCCTTATGTGCATCATGGATACGTACTGCTTAATAGTCCCAAACAAGGACGAAATAGATGTCCAGTACTCCTTGGTTTCCTTCCACTGGTTCTCTATGTGGTATCATTTTGTGGTCAAAGTTAAAATCTATCGACTACCTGCCAACCAACACTTAAAAAAGTAACTGTAATAACCCACTGCTATTTCTTTACACATTACGCAATCATATGCTTTCACTTGAAGGCATGTTTTACTCTTATAATAGTAGAATTTAGGCGCTAAGGTAGAATATAATTCCATATTGAATAAATTTATTTTGAAGTAACACTTGGTAATTAACTTCTCGATAAAAGTCTTAAGCTTAGAAGAACTGAGAGTGCTCAGAAACTGGATTAAACTTCAGATTTAGCCGTTGGTCGATTAAAACATGAAGACACCATTCAGTAGTGTAAAAGTGGCATTAAGCTTAATAGATGAAGACAACGGCTCTCTAACCGATATCAGCTCATGATGAAATCCTGAAACCAATAATATCAAAAATCTCTGCAAACCAACATCTGAAGATAAGACAACTGCTGACCAGATCTCAGCACCATATTCTATTCATGCATCTTTGGAATATTAAATATGAAACACTAAGACAAATGTTACGTAGTGCTTCTAGGTACTGTACTTCAAAATGTTCCATCAGGCGCGGAACCTAATTCAAGGGTATTCTGACAACTGGATACAAACAAACGCTGAATATTTACTAAAAGTGCTGTGACATAGCGATAGGTTTCCTAGTTTAGTTTTAAAAGAAACTATAAATGACCAAAAATTGATTAAAATGCCCTTTATAAATCTCAGAAAGATTTATTAGTAAATCAGGAATATTCTTTTCGATAATTTCTTGTTCAGGTTTTACAGTTATATATCGCAAGACGTTAAGAAATTATCGAAAAGAATAGTCTTCATTCACTAGTCAGTCAACTGAAACTACATATCGGGTCCATAGAATATGTTACTCATCAGTATTCAAACGAAAAATCTCTACACATGAAAATCGATCTGATGCTCACTAGCGACTGGCCCTATTCAGGCAGTTAGCCTAGGGGTTCTAGTGGGAAGCCGTGACCAGTAGGGTACAGCAGGTTGAAGGTGGGGGCATAATTCATAGAAGAAAACATTGCGAAGTGGTCGCGCTATGTCGTGAATTGGCACAAGTTACAATTCATGGGTTGTCCATTGGATCAGGTCCCAGTGGCCTAACGGTCTACGAGCTCGCCAGCCTTGTAACAAGGAGGTCGTGGGTTCGAACTCCCGTAGTGGGTGCGTACTGATGAAGAGTCCAAAACAAGGTTGACGAAACAGCTGTCCAGTACTCCCTGCATGTTTTCCAATAGTTCTCTAACTGATTTCAGCTCATGATGAATATGAGTTCTGGATAGATGGACAGATAGCTGAGATATGCAGTAATCATATACCTACGAGCATTTTCATGATCACTATAGGGTTTCACTAGACAAAGTCTATTTTTAGTCAGATTATTACATAGACAACAATAAAAGATGAGTGATTACCATGAGTTTATGTGCTTAGTTACCTACCTTGGCAACGCATATAGTTGAAAGTAAACAAAGAAAAAGTACATAAAAAGCACACTTCGATTTCATTAGCTACTTTTCTATAGGAGATTTTTTAAATATATCCCCAGTGTTATGAATGAACCCTTTGTAGTTTGCCTGTCATTATTCGAGTCTTCAGTTGAATAATACTCATGAAACTCTATCTGTCCATTCTAAATTGTTAAAAAAAACCTTAAAATTCATAAAAATTCATCATAAATTCCATAATTATCCCTCAGTAATATCTAAATGTATCCAGCCACTCGTTGAAATCTTAATAAAATACACCATATGAAGAGGGACTATGTAATAATAATAATAATAAGTTGCATATATTTAAAACACATCACAGTAAAAATCATACCCATTTTCTTTTCTTGATCAGAGAATTCAGCTTCATATTTCACAGTTAATGCAGTCATTGTGTGCACATATATATACGCTTTTAGATAAGGGAATGTACAAATACGATGTATATAAATCTATATACAAATATATGACTGTATGTATAAGGATGTGTAAAAAGATGTTTCAGAGTTTTTGAGCTATAATCACTTTTTTCTATAAATAATTTTTATGTTTCTTTGCGTATGTATGTACAAACTGTTTCACTGTTTACTGCTTTTTTTCTCCTCCACTGTTTCCGTTCCGAAAGATGATAAAACTCCTCTGTTTTGCAGTAATCACAATTTTTTTATACGTATATACTATTTCAAGTATGCCAGATAGAAATATTTTTGATAAGATCTTGTTCGTCTATATTGTATATTATTGAAAGCAATCTGTTGGAATTTTAGTGTGTTGATCAAATGATCGATAATAATAATGATGATAATAATAATAATGAAATATCAGTGTTTAATCTACTATGGCCTCACTTGTTGCGACGATAAAATGGCAATACTGACAATGAAGCCAAATGAAGTAGATTTAGGAAAGATTTTTCATTCGTTTTCATTCCTCTTTTATTGTCTTTTTTTCTCAAAGAAAAATGGAAGAAAATTATTTTGTATTTTTTTTATTTTTCAAGAAAGGAAATATGTATATATGCATCCTCTTTATTTTACTAATGAAATCACATATATATTTGTATGAACGAATGAATAACTGCGCTTACTTGATAAATAATTTCATTCTCTAACATCTTTACATCTCTTTACGGATTCAACCAATCAAATCGCTGTAAAAATTGGTAATTATCATTCCTGACCAGTTTTCTGATTGGTAGTTGACTTGTATGAAACGGCGGAAAGACAGCCGAACCAATAAGAACTCTACCTAATGATTATCACATAATGTATGTGAAATACACACACATATACACAGATATTGCCTTTTATTAATTTTTTCTAGAAATAAGAACAACAATACAATAAAAAGATGAAAAGGGTTGAAAAAAGGAGAAAAAAGAATGGTCTGTATTTTTTCCAACTTTCTCTCCTCCTTTTTCTCTATCTAACCTACCTATCTCTCTTTCTGTCTATTTAAAAAGAAAGGAATTACACATAAATAAAATGGGTATGAAAAATTGTTCAGGGTCAGACCAGCAATATTCCAAAATGTGTAGAAATATGTAGGTGAATAAAAGAATTTTTAGCAGTAGACTGCCTATGATTACAAAATAGGTATAACTCGTGGCACCCACCCACCCACACACACACAAACATGCATGCATACACACACATTTCTAGCAAGTGGACAAATTATGCTTGAGATGCATGCATACACTAACAATTTACCTAATGTATAATAATATGTAGACGATCTCAAATACAAGGACAAAGCAAACATTTTATCATCTTTCAAAATCGATGTAAATAATGTTTGACAATGGATAATAATAATAATAATACACAGGAAAAAATACTGATAAAAATTTGGCAAAAATCATTCATTTTGCTGATAACACATAGGCATAATTTATTATACCGACAAATGCATATTTCAGATTAAATTTTATCAGGGGATAAAAAAAGCTGAACAATGCTATAATGTGTTTTATATTTGAAAAGAGAAGAAACATTAATCTACTTTTGTACTACTTATATACTCATTGACTAGAATGACAGCTTATTGTATCAGACTGGCTTATCATTCCTTTGTCAGCCAGGAGGGAACATAAGGTGTCCAGACTTAAGCTTTGAAGTTTCCCTCTTTAGTGTGCCTACTGCTAACTAGATGAGGTTTACGAGTGCATCGGTTGGGAATCGAACCTAGACCTCCAGCATAACTGGCAAGCATTCTTCTATTGAATACCTAACGCACTATGTCGAATTATTAAAAATTAATTATTGAAACTCCCTTAAATTTGTCTCCAATTAATTACGCAAGTCAGCTGCCATTATGTGTGCATCAATAAAACCTTTAGATACACATGTTGATACTATGTTAGTGGTTGCCAGAAATGAAATCTCCAGGAGATTCATTTCACTCTGTTTGAAACTTGTCATCTGGACTTTTTGGCGAGAGTTTCCAACAAACAAAAACTGATATCTGTAACACAATAGGTGGTTCTCAAGGCCAAATGGCTTGGCGGAGAACGTTTTAGGGGTTTAAAATGATGGTTGTTTGGTTTCAGTCTTAGTGGAAGCACAATTACTCACTAGGGATGCAGATATATTCAGGTGGCAAGTCCCAAATGGAACAAAATTTGCCGTCTTGATTCCATTGCCAAACCCCACCAACTCAGTTAACTTGTTTATACTTCAAAGTATCATATTCAGTCAGTGGAAATAAACAACCATTAAGCTTTGTGTTTCATGAAAATTTAGAGTAGTTTACTTTGTGAAATCTTTCTGTGTTTTGCAGAAATAAAATAAAATTCGACAATTAAACAATATGCACTTTTAATAATGGGGTTCGACAAATATAACCAGTAATTATGTCACACTTTTATCACGATCACTAAACCTAATGGCAGGTATTCATCTAAAATTGTTGCTTCGTTTTGATTTTCACATCAAACTACAGTGAACTGACGTCTAATCACAATATCGATTTCGTCAAAAACTGATTGTTGTTAACGAATTACTGAAAATCAAGGAGCACTGGAGTTCTGCTTTATCTTAGTGCTTATCCGTGATCCAACTAGGGATCATATCTGGCGGTTGCTCGTGTTCACCATGTTTGTTTTCCAAACAGATAATCTCCAGCTCGTTTGGCAGCTACTGGATAGATGATCTGAAGTTGTAATGAGAAGTTGTGGTTAGTGGGATTCATCATGGGTAGGCGAAGTGGACGCCAATCGATGGCATTGTTTGACAGTAGAGCTGCGTCACGAATTGATGAAGTCAGAATTCACAGTTCTTTAGATTTCTGTTCGAGTGATTAAGAGTGGTCAACGAGCTGGTATCGTAACCTGAAGGTTCCAGACTGAGCCCCATTGGAAATGGTAGGTGCACACTGCTGAAGAGTCCCAGGTTAGGAGGGAGCAGCTACCCAGTGCTCCTTGGTTTCCAGTGATTTTGCAATTGATGCTGATTCATGACGAAATCGACACTGAAAACAGCCGAAAAATCAAATGAGAAAGAAAGCCCAGCAAGATTAGATGTTTACAATAGAGTCTACAGTTTAGCCTTCTTTCTTAAGAAAAAAAACTGGTAATTAAGTTGTCGACAATCACACTGGAATGTCAGCGATACATTCCTATTTGTACTTCAAAGTAATAAATTCTTATTTAATAGAAATTTAACTGTCTTTTTTTTACAGACAAAAAATATCAACAGTTAACCTAAAAATAACTGTATGACGTAATACTTTATTCTGTGTGTATAAATGTCAAACGGAAAATAGTTCAACTAATTAGTTTCGAAGTTAAATTTAGCCATCTAATGACATCAGGTCAATAGACTGTTGAAATCTAATGGAGTACTATATAACTGTTTTATCCTTAATATAAGTATTTTCAATAATGTACAAGTATGCAATCCCTCTACTAGTTGGTAACGATAGATAACTGAGATAAGAAAACTGTATATCTCAAGTTAAGTTATAAGGGTGAAATTGCCCCAGACATTTTAAAATGTTGACTTAACAGTCCAGTTAAGAGAACATTCCCTGCAGCTAAACTGGTACTCAGTTCCTGAATTAGACGAGTACTCACACACCGAGACAAGGATAAATTACCAATGACAGTCTCATCACTGACTATTAATCCATCTTGTATTTGTCCCACAATACACCTTCTGATATAATTCTAATTGGGTGCATGAGTTGGAAGTACTGGACAGCCGTTTCGTCCTAGTTCAGGACTCTTCATCAGTACGCAACCACCAACGGGGTTCGAACCCAGGACCTTCTGGTTACAAGGCAAGTGAGCGAGCTCGTAGACCATTAAGCCGCTTGGATTCGATCCAATAGCCCATGAATTCCAGTACTCCCGGGTTTTCAAATGGTTTTACTAACCGATGTCAGCTCATGATGAAATTCTGTAACCAGTCAATCAAATCCCTACAAACCAATAATTGATAATTCTAATTCTTAACTTTACTGGCTAATACATACTAAAATTAATGGATTTATAATTGTAGGGCATGAGGAAGGATTTTTATTGAAAACAGTTGTGTGACCTAATTATTATTATTGTTTACTCAGTGGATTGTCAATTTATAGCTTATGCTATCCAATGAACATTCAATGTATGCATTGAAATCAATCGAATCTTCATAAAAATCAATGTTTCCATTGACAAATTACCCACCCCAAGGTGAAAAAATAAACACAGTTTCCTTTGGAAGAGTAAAATATTCAGATTAGGGTGTGTGATCTGTTCGATGCCATAAATGGTAACCAAGGGAGTAAGTAAAACTGCAGAATGATTTACACTGCTGATGGATGTGAGTAAATAGAAACTACTCATATCACATCACAGTCATGAATGCTAACCAGATCAAAGTGATTTAGATCACTTGTAATATATTTTATTTGTACATGTAGATCACTTCTGTCCAGATAGGAAGCATTACTGATTAACGTCAGAGCTTCCCTACTACTATTATTACCAGTAATAATAATATTTTATTCTAGAGGGTATGTTAACACATAATTCTGAATTCTCAGTGTATTTAATAGCAAAATATTGACTGTTCATACAGCAGCTTTAAATAAAGTAGTTACCAACAGTATATTTTGATAAGTAGTGTTGTTCCATCTGAAACGAGATCGAATCTTCTACGACAGTCTTCCTTCAAATCCTTCAAGAAGTGCACAGCACTACTTTGAAATCCAACTAAAAATGACTGAGAGTTCATGAGTGATCCCAAAATATAATTTGATGACTAAAACAATAGGAAATGTGGAAGGGCTCATGTATTATATTCATTATTGTATTATGGTTATTGTTCCCTTGCGTTCTGAGTGGAACTCAGAGCTTCAATAACACTCCTCGAATTGTTCTATTTTCTGTGGTCCTGTCTAACTGGGT